TATTTACTTTGTGGTCTAAAATAAATGTGCCATGTTTGACACACCGTCTTTTCAGAAATCATATTTATTTTGAAAGATTTTTTTTTCATGTATTTAGACTGGAAGGATCAACTGGTTCAAACAACATAGAACTACATTAATTACTATTTAATTGTGAACTGTATAATAGTTAACTGCACAGACCTGTACTAATTACTTAATAATTGTGTCTTGAATTAACTAGAATTTTTATAGTCTGTTATAAATACTCCCTAAGTCTGTTCCAGTTAGCCCTGCTTAAAGGGTTAGTTGTAAAGTTTGCAGATGAATTATTTGTAGATGTGTGGATTTGGATACAAAGTCTATGTTTTCATTTGTAGCAGAGGTGAGCAGGTTGCTTTTACTTCAGACCTGTTATACCAGTATTTGCAATATAAAACATTAATCAAAGGATGGTAGACATTACACCCTGTGAATCAAATGAAAAAGCTTACTGCCTCTGATCTTATTAAAATGAAAGCAGCCAAAAATGATGACTAAAACTGGCGATCCTCTCAGAAATAGAAAGGTTAGCCCGAGACTTGCATACATTATCTCCAAGTCATCCAGCGCTAGAAATACATCAGTGTTGTCAGAGGTCTAAGCAAATTTACTTTGAGAAGTAGAGTCAAGCCTGGCTGACAATTTTTCTTTGACCTTTTCTGCCAAAATTGGTGGAGTCTTTAATGGCAGAGTCTGATGGACTGCTGCCTTAATAAGGTGTGGAGCTACTGCGTCTCTCCTCACTGTTCCCACTTTAATTAGGCAATTATGCACCAACCCTGGGACTTAGAACATATGGGGTCTTCTGTGTCTTGTGTGCTTGTGGATTGTGTCAGAGTGGAGTGCTGTCAGATAGACGTAGGAGTTTATCCCACATGGGCTGATGTTTGGCAAGCGTTCATTCCTCTGTCCTCTAATACTCAGTCCTACGGTTCTGAGTTTATGGTACTACAGGGACCACAACTAGACCAACAACCCAGACAAAGCCGATCATAGATTTTCATTTTGGAGAACTACCAACTGTGTTCTTGAAACCCATGGCTGATTTTTCTTCCCATGGAAGAGAGTGAATGTAATTATTCACAATATGAAGAAAATATAAATTTTCACATCCACCATCTCCTCCTCCTTTTCACCCAAGAAAAACTATTAGGACCAAAAGCTAGTCATCATGTAGAAACAGATATCACCTGTTATGCATTGTGGCTTCATGTAAAGTTTTGCCAAGACTTGCTCTAACCTCATAGTAAGACTATTATTATTATTATTATTATTATTATTATTATTATTATTATTATTATTATTATTATTATTATTATTATACCCCCTACAGATTATCTACAAATGTGGTGACACTCAGTTGATTATGGTCAGAATTAGGGTTAGAGCCAGTTTCAGGATTATGTTTAGATTTTGGGTTGAAATAAAAGTTAGGATTAGGTTTAAGGTCACACTTAATAGAATCTACCACATTCAGCTTAAAGTCCAGCTGCATTTAATTGATATTTAGTTGAATGTCATTGAATGACAAGGTGAGCTTCTACAGTGGACTTTCAAAATAAGGTGTTACCATTATTGTGATTAATATACCATTCCTCATGCATGGATTAAGGCAAGTTATTCATCTCAAGCGAGACGCTGTTAAACTCTTCAAGAAACCATCTAAAAATGACTCTAGGAACACCAACTACCTATTTTACTTTACACTCTAGATATTTTAGACTTCAATGTAAACCTACGTTAAGGAATTTAAGTAATCAATTTGGAAAATAATAACTAAACCTATAGCATAACTTATTTCTCAATTTACCAATTTTCTAGCATCAGTCCACTAGAGGGAGACAAATATACATTTAAAGTTAGCTCATACAGGACATTCTCACTAGCTCAAACACTGCACTGAACATACTTAGAGGACCAGTGAGGAGCTGGCCAGAGCAGAATCTTCTTTTTTACTAAAATGGCAGTTAATGACCATCTTATCCTCCTAAATATCATATGTGGAGACCAAAAAGAAAGACTCAGTAATCAGTGTGTTTGTTTAAATGCTCTACATGGATGATAATGGAGTAGAATTTAGTACAAAATGAAGCATTTACAAAGCGTCTTGATCTTTATATCTTCAAATGGGAGCATATTTTGTGATAATAAATAATACAGGATTATTATTGAACAATGCAATGAAAATGACCCTTATCTCTCTGATAACAATCCCTGATCCCTCATTTTGCCTTTAGCTTTTGCACAAGAAAAAAAGCTTGAAACTGTTTAACCAGAAGAGCACAAATTGTAACACTTGTTAGCTGCTTTACCATAATTCAGACCCTTAAGACCTAAAGCTTCCCTGATTGCTCTTAACCATCAAGAGTTTAATCTAATTTAAGATAACAAGATTACAGGACCTTTAACACCTGCCACTTTTACACCATCGTACTGGATGTGTCATGGACATGCTGTGTTCAGGGTGGGTTGGCTGCCTCCCATGGCTTCTGTATAATTCCTTAGCCACAGGCATGACAATGACTCACTACTTTAAGCTAATGGCCAGAGAGAGATATAACAGTTGGAATTTACTTTACATTTCTGACTGATTATTAAACCATGGACCTCCTTTTGTCCAGCAGCCACATTACAGGAGATACATGCTATATAAAGGGGCACAACACAGAACTGCATGGAAACAACTGGCTATCTTCTTCTTGACAGATGAAATAAATGTAAAAAAAAATACAATTATCCCAGATTTTTTTTTGTATTATTCTTATATATTTTTATTTTATATTGCTTTTCTTTATGCTCAATAAATTCTATTTTTTGAATTCTAAAATACAGCAACTGTAAGAAGTGTAGCCTGGCTAGAAAAATAAGTTAGCACTAATTTAAGTAAATGTTCTTTGAAAGAAGGATACAAAATTAAGTTCTATCAGCACTGGCTTTTGTTTCTAGCAGCGCTGTCGCTCAAGGGTAGTTTGGACCTATTTGTACTAGGATACATTCTGAGTGGACAACAAAGCACTTTTGTTAGTTGCTACTAAATGCTGTAAATGTAAATACTTCAGATGACTATTAAGTAAATGAGTAAACTATTCATTATAGTACTCTCTTATCATTGGGCCCTGAAACTGGGACCTTAAGGGTATAAGGTATAATCTGTAGTTTTGCCCAACCTTAGTGCTGAAGAATTTGGGGAAAATATCTCATATCTAATATCTAGGCCAGTTTCTTTGCTGAATAAAGTGTGCTGTCCGTTAGTTTTGGTTGTCATGTACACAACACATGGGTGTTTGTTAGTTTGCTTCTGTTTGCTACAGACAGTTCGTAAGATCCATGTTGTTAAATTACATTTATCCTTTTAAAACTCAAGCACTTGTTAGGTTGCTGATAATATAGGCTATAATAAAAATTGCAACTCTTGTGCACCCTGCAAGTTGCACCCTGTCTTGTGATTTCAATATAAAAATGATTATTCTTTCAACCTGAAGCATGAAGTCTCATATGCTCTTTGTGAAATCATTTGATGACCAACATGGTCATCAAATGTGAGAGTCTTGTACAAACGTATTTCACAATTGATGGCCTCCGTTTAATTATGTGTAATGCTGTCATATAAGTATATATAAATGTAATAAACACAACAAATAACATTTAGACAATGTGTTGTGCATAGATATCTACTTACTTTCATTGATGAGAAATAATGAATGAGAATAAAAGCCTGTGGTGCTACTCATTCAGTTCCTCATCTCAGAGTTGGAGTATACCTATCATTGTGTTGTGATTCAGACAGATTTTTCTTTTTTCAGAACAGAGGAATATGTAGTGCAGTTCAGTACTCACTATCATATTTAGAATTAAATCAACCCTAAGCTTTAAAGACATTGCTAACTAGTGCAAACATGTCTCGGGAGAGACAGGAGGTGTGGTTTGAAATATTAGAGCCCACCACTCTGAGCCTCAGGAAGTACAGCTAAGGAACTACCATCGCCATGTTCAGCAGCCTACCTAACACTATTCTTATAGACGCAGCAATCTGGGAAATGATTGGTTCATTAGTAAGATCCTGACCATGCAGCAGCAGAATGACTGTTTTACAAAAGTTCTAGCTACAGTATGGTGATTTCAAATGTAATCAATCTTCATTAAAACAAATGGAAATAAATGAACAAACAGCAGAAGTAAAGGCCTATGCCCTTTGTTTCTAATGTGGTTACTTCTCATTCATATGCTTAGGCAGTTTGCATTTGAGTCAAGATACATTCTGAGTTTAACGAAAAGTTTCAGTCAAGTCAAAGTTCAAATATATCAAAGACCCTAATGTACTGGTGTAGTGGTAACATATTTGAGGTTGGCTTTCACTTCTTATTCCACATCTATGGATGGAATGCTGCTTCTTTAGTATTTCTGTTTTTGAGTTTAGTGGATGTAGCATAGTCAAAACAGTGTAAGGCAGTTTACAGGAGGGAAACTTTTTTTGAAGCTTTGCATGTTAAGTATTTTACTCTACAGTGTGTGTTTCCTTAACATCTTTTGAAAAAATATTTGTTTACATACACATAATTTTTTCCTAACCCCTATAAACATGATTAATATGCAGCCAAATAAGAAGACATATCATTTTAAAATGCAATGTTTATTACTTTTGAACAATCTCTCTTTTTTGTCTTTTTTTATGCTTTGTAGATATAAAAATATATATTGACGTCAACAGCAAAAATGTTACATGTGAGCAAGTTGGCATCCTGCCCTTTTGAGTAAGCCACTGACTGGTACAGAGGCAAACAAACTGTGATGTACAAGCAGGGAAAATATGAACATTATTAAGAGAAACGTCTGTGTCAACATGTATTGTACACCCTCACGTTGAGAAGTCCATGTAAGCAATGACGAAGTGCAAATCAAGTTCCAAGCGTTCCAAGTGTTCCAAGAGTTCCAAGAGTTCCGAGAGTACCGAGTTTGTGTGAGGAAAGTGAGAGAGTCCTCTATGCTGGGGACACGCTGGACACTTCTGTCTTAGTGGACACTGTTGAGGACTCATCATCTCCCATGGGGTTCTTGCCACAGAACAGGGTCGTCAGCATGCAGTTACGGAACTACAAAGAAAAACAAATCAAGTTAACAAATATGGAACATCTAAGTTTCATCCCTTCACTTTTAATTCACATTTAAATCATGATTCACATTAAATGATTAAATGATGTAGCATAAAACGTTATAAGAGAAACTATAGGGCAGCTACGTCAGTACCTAGCCATTGGCTTCCACTATGCATTAATTTTGTTTTAATAAGTACAGAAAATAGAACCATATGAAGCTGCTTCCCACCATATGAAGCTGCTTCCCACTGGCTTTCATTAAAAGTGGGTTTTGAATCCATGTGGTTTCTATTCTTTTAATAAGTACAGGTAGATATGCTTTATTATTATTCTTTGCAAGTCACTACATGGTTTAGATGCAACAGCTGAGTAAAATCTCTGGAATAGTCTTATATTTCTATGTTAGTATGATAAGAAGATAGACTGACCTGTTTGTTCAGCAGCACATATATGATGGGGTTGAAAATAGCCGAGCTTTTAGAGAAGAAGGCAGGAATGGCCATGAACTGGGCAGTGAAGGCAGCACCCTTGTTAAAAAAGATCCAGGCAGCAACACTAGCGTAGGGGGTCCAGGCCACTAGGAAGCCCACCACCATCAGTATGACCATACGTGTCACTTCCTTCTCAGCTTTCTGAGTGGAGGCGGAGTCCTGCTGAGCCGACGCAGCCTGGAGAGAATGTTGAAATCAGGGTCATTAATTCAACCTCTTATGAAAAATAAGAAAAAGAAGTTAACAAAAAGTTTGGAATTACTTTGCATATTAATAACTGTTATTTAATAATAACTTATACAGTGTAGATTGTTATACAGTGTCATAAACTAGACACCAAAATGTCAACCAATTGTTTATTCACAATTTTAGGTATTTGGGGAACAAGAAGTTGTGATATGAAAACAAGTTGTGATATGGAAAAAACAGTCAATGTAAATAAATAATAAACTGTTATTATCTATTAGTAGCACTTTCCTGTCACAAAATTACTTTGAACAGCTATTTGATCAGCAAAATTTCCTTTACTGGTTTCAAATATGAGGCTTTCTGAATATTTACTTTATTATATTTCTCGAAGCTTTACAGCTTTGTCAATTATTTTAAATCAAAAACTTCTTCATTTTTACAACTTCTCTCAAACTGTTAGAGACATTTAGAATATTAGCTTCATGTTATGCTCATTTTGTACATGTACCTGCAACAAAATTGGTTTTATATTAATGAAAACAGTGATTCCAAACTAGTGTATTAAAGTAAGTATTTGCATGAATAGTGATCAGTTTAACATGTCTGAGTGGAAAAGGTATCAATAAAAATAAAATTTATATCAACAGTAAGCAAACTGTTAAAATAGATACAATAACAAAACATGATGTAACATTATTAAAACCGCGTGTAGTCTCACCGCTTTGACTGTGCACACAAGCCGTCCATAAGTGAAGAAGATGACAGTGACAGGGACAATGAAATGACAGACGAACATGTAGATGACATAGGACTCGTTGTTGTATCTGGGGTTGAGTGTGTAGTAGTCTGGTCCACACGAGCACTGCAGCCCCTCAGGAATGTACCTGTTTTTTTAGCAGAGCAGATTTAAGTATTTGAATAATTAATTGGCTTTTATAATGTTTTAAATCAACACTTTAACAACAAATGAAATGCTCCAGCTTTGCAATTTCACTTTTTATTTTAGTTTTCATTCAGCAAGAAAAGCATAATCTCTTCATTTCAACATCATTTTTAGTCACATTAGTTCTAATCACCAATACTTGGCTTGCATATGTTTATAAGAAAAATTAAAGTGGTATGGAACCTTTACATTATGTGAAGTTTCCTTAAACTACAAAAAGGTGCTCCACCCTCACATCTAAACTCTTTACAAAAATGGTTAAAATGTCCATTGTAAGGTTCTTTAGGGATCTAAAAGTGGGTCCAAAGAACCCATCGTGAATGTTGTTAAAGGCAGCTCCATTCTATTAATTCTGAACGGCAAATCTTACCTGGACCATCCAACAAGAGGGGGTGCAGCACAGCTAAGTGCCATGACCCAGGTAAAAGCAATGCCGCCCATTGCATGAGAGGAAGAGAATTTGAAACTTCCCATGGGCTTGCAGACCACAATGTACCTCTCAATAGCCAGCACCACTAACGACCAGAGAGCCACTTCACCTGAGGAAGATACATCATCATTACAGCTAATGTAGTTAACGCTGAAGAGCAATAATATGCAGTCATGTATGTATACTCTATATAGCTGTTCAACACTGCTCACCTCCAAGTGTTGCCATGAACCCCTCAATGGCACAGCCCTTGGGCCCAAAGTAAAAGTAGCCGTTGATTGCCGAGGTGATGGTGATGGTGAACCCAAAGCAGACCATGATCATCCCAGCCACAGCCAGGTTGACCAGGATGAAATTGAGTGGCTGTCGGAGCTTCTTGTGCTGGGCCGTGACAAAAAGGGTCAAGCCGTTGATGGGGAAACCAAAACATATCAGGAAAAACATGTAGCAAGCCAGCAATTTAAACTGCCATGGGTCTGCTAAATAGTACTGTTCGTAGAAAAATGGATTGCGTACAAGCCCTGTGCGGTTATGCATAGGGATGTAGAAGTTCTCACCCTCAAAACCATGCAGACCTGACATGTCTGGAGTTGGTGGCGTATGAGCAAAGGTTAAAAAGTTTTCTCTGCTTTCACCTTGCCCTCTTGTGCCTCTGTGTCCTCCAAATGCCAGCATTTATACCTTGATTAAGGGACTTTAGAGGATTAGTGAAAAGTGATCAGGAAGGATGCTGAGAGGTGGCAGATTGAGGGCTAAGCTGATGGAGCTTCATTAGAAGGTGTGAAACACGCCAAACTGTTTAGCTTCTAAGCAGAGATTTGAGGGATTTTCACAGCGCCCTGTAACTCCTCTCAAGAACCTGAACTTAATTAAAGATTTCCATATTTTATTTTATTTCACAAAACAGCTCAGTAAGTGCAGGCAAGTGTAGGTAACGTTAAGTTTGCCCATTTATAAGCTAATATAACATCTTAGTTTAATTTTATAGCCATAAATACATTTTTTACATTTCTGGATATGAAATCATCACAATTTTTTCATCCTTCAAGCACAGCAGCTGCTCTTCACGTAGTGTGAAAATTTCAAGATGAGTAGACCAATACAAATACTTTTGGACAATGACAATATGATGTAAAGACTGAGTCTGTAATTCCTTCCCATGACTGTCCAGCAACAGTAAACATGCTGTACAATATGTCCAGGCAGCAAGGGCAAAGGCCATGAGGCTTTTTTATGTCCCTTTTACTTGTAGGTTTCATTTCTGGCTGTGGTGTGAGAAATTCTCAGATTTAAACATCCATATTTCAACACAGCTTTAATTTAGAACAGACTTCTCTTTGTCAAGAAGGGACCCTTTCTCTTACCTTGTGCCAGCACTTTTCAGGCCAATCCTGTTGACCTAATGTGACTCTTACGATTTAACACCTGACCTCATCTGTCAATGGAGGTTAAGGTGAAGCTGAAATGAACAGCAGTGTCATCAGTGCAAAAGGCCTTTCCTATTTGAGAGCCTTTCGCAATTAGCAGGTGTTAGAGTTACTTAAATCCACAGATTACGTTTCCATTTGAGGTTCTGTGCAGTTAAGACAGAAATTTTTACAGTTTCTAAAAGTGTATGGTATACCCTTAATTTTATTATTGAGTAAAACTTTTTAAAAAAGGATTAAGAACTCTAATCTAAATTTCTTACTCATCTCCACAGGAAACAAAGAAACTTTGAAATAGGATATGGCATGTATTTTATATTGCCTTTTACAATCTTTATGAATGTAAACCCATTTTTTTGTGATCAGATGAGAAGTGGGCCTTTTGATGAGCAAAGGCACAAAATTAAAAGAACAAAAACATCACTCAATAAATAAACATAAAACTAGGCCACTCTCTGTGTAGACATGCTTTCATCAAGTGGGCAATTACAGTTTATACATACCCATAATGTTAAACTCATAATTATGATAATTATGTCTTGAGTCAATGTACGTAATGAACGTAATGAACGTTTCTATATGACTATGAATTCACAGTCTAATGTCTCAGATTAGGAAGGATTAGGCTACAGGCAGGTGTCAAGGCATGGGTTAACAGAATGCACCTATAACTCACAGAGGATGTCAAACAACATATACATTTTATTTCTTTCAACAAAATCTTGACTGAGTTGCGTGTGACCCCAGGTGAGCAGTTTAAACATAAATACTAGTCCATTGTAATACTACAGGTTTTATTGATTATGAAGATCATATAAATGGATAGAGATTTTTTTCAAAGTGTAAACCTTACTCAGTGACTCTCCCCACTTACAGAGAAATGCAGACAACAAAAAGACAAACGACAACAGCAATGTGGAATGTGAAATGCTTACCTTAACAGACATGGCATTTTATCTATATTATCTATCATTATATAGCTCATACATGTTATGTACTGTGTTAGCTGGTTTATTACGTGGGATAATTCTAATTCAGCTCTTTCGTAATATCTAATTTTCATCTAAAAATGTGTCATACATACCTTACAATGTGCCAACACTTCTGAGAGTGCACCCATCAAGAGTACTGTTTAGTAGTGGTGAGTGTGTCCTATTATTGGGATTCAAGTTCCCAGCTGTGCTGTGTGCTTCCTGCTACAACTGAAAATGTAACCAAGTGACCAATTTCTTATTGAGTTCAGAGGGCAGGGTCCTTGTTCAGCCATCACAAAGCATGCTGAGGCATTCAAAGCTGCACAGTGGTTAAAAAAGACACTGTGACAAGCTTCTTTCCATTGAAAGAGGCGTGGTCCAGTGAGATGGTGCTGATGAGCTGTAGAAGCCTACAGGTACTAACACATTGTGCATTAGACAAAATTTGCACATACCAGCATTAAACTATATATGAAGTCTATTAAACATGTTCAAGAACACAACCCTTTAATACTTACCAAAAGAGAAAACTATGCAGTCAACAACTGCATCTTGAATGTGAAGCGATGCTGGGGAGGGGTTTCCATAGTAGGTCTCAACCTATCCGCATTAATAGTATCAATAGATAGAGAGCCGCTTGCACATCTCACAGTTGCAGAAACACCGAGTGCTTTGGACGTTTGAACGCCTCTTTTAAAGTCTTAAAGCAGCCAGATTTAGAGTTCAGTCTGTCCTTATTTTGGCATTTGTTCTGGTCACTGTGGATTAGGGCTTATCGAGCAAATTGGAAAACTTGAACGATCTAACCAACTCAATTATGTGGATTACAGCCACGTTGTCTGTTAGATCTGATACTCTTTGGCTCACTCAGACAACTCTTATCCTCTATTCAGCATAAACCGCCCTGGAGGTTAATCTTCCACAACAAGTCTCCAAATGGCATTTCCTACCAGATGTATATCCAGTAGGAGGTTTCAATTATGCAAAGTTTATAGACACAGCTGTTCTAAAGCAGCTATTTCAAAGCTATCAGAACAATAACTCTCAATGTCTATCTTATTAAACCAGTGTAGACAGTAAGGAAACAAAGAGCAAAGGTAATGAATCAGTACTGGAGTGCTAACTTTCATTCATTAATGACATTATAATCTGTATCACCTGAACAGACAGTTGTCAGGCCACAGTTAGAAGGTTCCTATTCTAAAGGAACTATCACTCTGAAGGTCGTTGGACCCCTGGCTTCCTGTGCCACAAAAAATGAAGTACTATAAGGACAATAAATTGTGCTCACTAGAAAATAAAAATCATAAAATAAACCATGTATACTAAATCATCTTTTTCTGTATGCTGTAAGAAGTTTTAAATCCAGCACTAAATATGTCCAATGTCATAGTCTAAGAGATCCCAGCTCATAGTCAAATTCAATCTGATACTAAATGCAAAAGCTTTAGGTTCACATTCTTAGTATGGTACATATGACCCATGTAAATGTAAATAAGGTCTAAGCACAAATATACAACTATCCTTAAAACTACACAAATATTTTTTCAAATTCTCAGTTTTCCAAAACGTTCAAAGCTTCTCTTTGTCACAAACTCCTAAGCTAGTTGTAAGCTCACATTATGATGCAGTTGAATCTATAGACAGAGCTTTTATCTGCGCTCGCAATAATTAGTAAGTAAATTGGTTGGTGTTATGTTGGTCTGCCACCATAGATGCTACATGCTGCATGAAGTATGGAATGTTTTAGCCTTGTTGGCCTAGCAAACCTGGTGCCAGCCAGTCTACATGAGAGCTTACGAATGACTCATCATCTTTAAACATAATTTAAAATTGCAACTTACAAACAATCCATTACTTGAGGAAAAGAAATTATAATAATTTTGTTAATTTAATGAAGCACAATTTAAGGAAAAGACAAAAAATCCATACTTACAAAGGAACAAAGCAGTGTTGGGCGCTGCTAAGATGAGTAAGCATGTCTCCATTTCTTTGTTTCTATAGTTAGTTTCCGAAGTTCAAGCTATTCTTTTGCTTGAGTGAGAGTAGTAAAAGATCTAAATGTCTCTATTCGTGTCTAACCAGCTAGATTCAGAGTTCAGTCTGTCCTTGCCTTTACTCTGGACAATTTTTCCATTGTGGATCAGGGCTAATCAGGTAATTGGAGAACTTGATTGTTCTAACTGACTCAATTAGGTCTGACACTCTCTGGCACTCTTAAGACACTGTCACCCTTTGTTTGAGGTAGCTTGTGGTGCTTCAGCAAGCTGGAACTTTCTCATCCAAAAGAAGTTTCTGAAGGCTTTTGAAGGCTTTGATCTCATCACTCTGATGATCTACACATTTACATTTTAACATAAAGTCAGGATATTAACCATTCAGTCACAATCACTTGCATGTCCATGGCAATGTAACAAACAGAGATGACTACTAAACAGTGGCTTTTTAGAATGGAAGATGGATTTTAGAGCCACAGCATGCGAACAGTCAATAAATATCTGTATAAGCCAGTACTTGGGGGTTTCATGAATAAAACACAATCAATCCAATGCTCAAACAGAAAGCGCAAATTCTGTGGCATTTTCAGATTTTAAAATAGCTTTAATATAGTTTTTCTTTACTTGTCTCTCCTAACTGCTTAACTCAGATTAGCAGGGCAGCTCTCCTGTTTATCTAAAGACTCAAGAACTTAATTGATTTAATAAACTGTGATAACACAGTTGCTTCTGTCCAATGTAGTGACAGGGGTTAGTGAGAAAAGATTTGCATTAAGTCTTCCCTGAAATCAACTCAACCCTCTACTGACCTCAGGAACTAAACAGGTAGATCTACTAAAGCACATAAGCAAATTTATATTAAATAAACACACTACACTCTGAACATTTGCTTAGATGCTAAACATATTGGTATAAAAGTGTAAACTACAAAAATATGGAAATGTAATACCACTTGTGATACATACATACATACATACATACATCATCTAAACTGCTTATCCTTCTGGGTCGCGGTGGGGTGCTGGAGCCTATCCCAGCTGTCATTGGGCAGAAGGCAGGATACACCCTGGACAGGTCACCAGTCCATCACAGGGCAACCACTTGTGATAATGATAAATAATTTATTTAATTCATAGATAGGCAATTAAAAGATTATCATCATGAAATGTCTCCCAATATTAAATGCTACATATAAGCAACTTACTATGACTATTTCAGAGTAAATAACAGACTCTGAGCATTTTGTAGTTGTAATACTGACTAAACCTTTAATAATTAAAAGAAATACAACACTGTCCTGCATCGTTGTGATAAACACCACTGTGTATTTCTATGTGCTGAACCCCTGAGTAAATCAATAACTCAGTTTATACTTAAAGCACCAGTGAGTGGCTCATACCACAGCAAATATTCTCACTTTAGGAACTTTCTGTGTCTCACTTTAGGAACCTTAGTTTTAAAAACGTCATTTACAGTACTTCTCCAACAGCTGGTAGCAGCTCCTCTTTCAAAAAGCTCTGCAAGTCCAGTGAGGGGTCATCCAGATCAAGGGTGAGGAACTTCTCTACCACTCTTTCACATCTGGACACAGAGACAAAAAAACAGTTGCATTACTATTCAGTTGCATCCCAGTGTGCATGGTCAGGCTGATAAAAATAACGTTCAAGTTAGTTCCATTTCAGTAGCCAAAAAACAGAGCACAGCCTTGATAATATAACAGAAAGTGTCCTTACTAACAGAAGATGTGTCCTTTGTTTTTACACTCACTTAATACTGTAATTACACTAATCATTATAGGCCCACTCAAAAGAGTCAGATATATTGCTGACTGATACAGCCAGAAAAACAGTAGCACAAAATTGGCTACAAAATTTCTTGCTTTCTACATAACGTACCAGTCTTTGGATGGCACAGTTATACATTTAGCATTCTCATTCAATCGCTTTCATGCACTTGACAAAAACATGTTGTAAAGCCATTAATTCTGAGAGATGCAGTGCCTGGCTTTTTAAACACTCCGGGAGACTAAGGGAGAAGGTTCTAGCCTTCATCCTCTAAGACAAATCTCTTTGACATACCTACTACATTAGTTACTTGATACAAATAACAAAGCAAAAATAAATACACAAACCTGCTGATTTGTTCATCACTTGAGGGCTGGTCAATCCTTTTGATGGTCCTTCCTGTTCTATACAAATCTGATACCTGCATATAAATAAATAACTTATAAACATATATTTTGACACAAGCACAATACTGCCTATATTCGTTTCTATAATTTCCAGTGTTGGTCCTACCATTAAATTCCTGTCAATAAAATTACTGTAGATTATGCTCCAAAGTGTAAGTTACTGATCTAGTCATTTATAAGCATAGCTGTCTGGTTCATGACTGATAAAAGACTGGCACTTCACAGAAATGTCAGGAAAAATACCTCCACTCCTCTCTGCACCAGAGCAGGTGGCAGGCCAGCCAGTGTGGCAACATTTGCAGCGTAGCTGGACTGGCAAATGCCCTCCCTCAGCTGGTAAAGAAAGACCAACTCCTCCCCATCTACAGTAGTCTCTAACGTCTATCCAGACATAAAACAACACAAATAAAAAATAACTCAAACACCAGTAAATAGTGGGAATAATGTGGAATACTGTCAGGGGCGTATTAAAGCACTACTCTTTAAAACATGGGAAGCCAAATGGGACTTCCTTTGCAACAGCTAGATGAGACAAAGCAATGATTGCCTTTGTACTGTATCCTACCGAAACTGTTTACTAAACATTTAAGCAATGCAATTACATATTAACTGATGCATATACTAGCCACCAGATATGTGTTTAAAAAGCTCAACATCGAAAAAAGTAATGCATTAAATTTACTTGATTCACATACATAACATTTCTACATAAATAAACTACATCACCACATCTATTGCCCAAATTACATAAACACTTCAGAGCAGAAGTGAAAAAGCTCCCCTTCCACAAAAAGGTGCAATAAATCTGCATATGAGCACTGTTCAACCCCTTTTATGGCCAGGGTCCACTGGCAGGCCCAAAGTTTTATTACACACTTCTATAACCTAAGAATAGCTCAGCCAGCCTGCATGTAATATAGTAGTATGTAATAAGACTGGGATTTTAATGGGATTAAAAAGTAGAGGACACACACCAGCAGGGAGAGCAGTTGAGAGCAAGGCAGGAGACCTAGCTGCAGAACACTGTGAAAGTTTGTAGCAAGAAAAACGAGAGGACACTCAGCTGGAGCTTTGCATAACCAGTGATTCAAACACGCAGCCAGGAGTGATAAACCATCAACCTGCAAAGGCAAAAATATGCAGTACTAGTCTCAAGGATGCACTGTTTTAACTCCTCGTCTCCACTTATTCGTCCTAGGTTCCTTAGGACTAGCCTTACCGTATTGGTTCCTTTGCCAAACTCATCCACTAGCACAAGGGACATACCAGTGCTGTGGTTCAAACCCTGAGCCATCTAGACAGGAAATACATAACAACACTTTTTTCACATGTACATTGAAAAAAAGTGTGTGGAATTGGCTTAATTCATCACTTCCAATGGAATAACATATATTACATTAACATAACTGTGTTTTTCAATTTACTTACTTTTGTCAATAATTGCATTGTTGTAATACATTTTACTGATGTGAAACCAATGTACACATTTGAATCAAATAAATTCAAAGTGTTCAACTCAATGTTGTTTCACTGTAATAGAACAGGAGGATTGACAATTTGTAAGTGTGACATGTTTGTACCTGGTTTAGATCTATCATGAAGGTGCTCAAGCCCACGGACACAGACTCACGACTATGCATACGAGTGAAGATGGCATCTACCAGACCGATCTCAGCCTCTTTTGCAGGCACATCAGAGCCAATCAGGGCCATAAACACAATCAATCCAACCTACATCAACCAAATCAGCAAACAATGAATGTAACAGTGGGCTTATGTGCAGTCATGGTAATGAAGATTTTTGTTTTCTTTATGTTCATGCCCAGTTTTACTTGGGGAGGTATGTGGATTACAGATTTGTTTTTGTGCTGTGCTTGCCTGTTTTAGGTATATGCTCTTGCCAGAAGAGTTTGGCCCAGTTAGCACCTTCACTTTTCCCTCAGTCTCAGAACTGATGCATGGATTTGACACAAAAACCGGTGTACACAGCTCTAGTAGAGGATGCCTGCAGGAGAAAGGTGGAGACAGAGAAAGAAATAAGAGAAAGAAAGAAGTGATGGTAGTGAGTATTACACTAGATTGGATACACTGAATTAGGCACCCAGTAATACACTCCCTCCCTAACTGCCAGGAATGCTTTGTACCGGGACTGATTCAGTATCAGTCTGCAGCGTGGTGTCAGTGTAGGGGAACAGTAGCCATAGTCCTGGGAGGCCTTTGCCAATGCCATAAGGCAGTCCAGCTCAGCACACAGGGACAGAATCTTGTAGAGACAGCTGCTGCGCTGCAGCACAGTGGCTTGGAGCTGTGTCATCACTGCTGTCTCCATGTCTGAAACACACAAACTAATGTCACTGTCAATACTCTGTGCCCATGCTTCTCCATGCCAGTCAGAACACTTCACCCAATAAGATTCCAGTCCACTCAGTTGCATTCTGTTATATATATTATTTCTAGTTGATCAGACAATTTAGATGAAAGGAAGATAGATCGTATCCAGATTAGCTTCTAGTTCACCTCTGATGTCACAGTGTAGGTCACCCAGCATGTCGTCCAGCTCTTTAGTCCTAGCACTGCGATAATGAAGCCGGTCTTCTGACACAAACTGGATGAGTCACAAAGCCACAAACACACAAATATAAACATATTTACATTAGAGTGATAAATACACATTAGTCTCTTAGACGTATTCCCTGTTATACTTCTTTTTTTATGGTGCCTCCTAAGTTTTATTGTACCTTGCTAATTTGAATCGTTTATTCAATTATACGGTGCTACTTGGACTATTACATTAACTGGTTTATTCATACTTTTAGGCTTTTTTGGAAATTAAAGCCTTAGCCTAACTTCTAGTGCAATTTTTGTCACTGCACCACTCAGCATTTACACTGTACCCTGAAAAATTGCACAATTATTTGGTCAGTGTTTTTCATTTACTGGCTTACATTTACATTCAGTCATTTAGCAGATGCTCTTATCCAGAGTGACTTACAAACTGCAGCAGCCAAAATAAATTACTTAAGAGATATTTAAAGAATCTATAGCCTGAGAGACAAGAGCCATGCCATAATTTTATCTAGTTAAACAAATAAATACAAGTGTGAACACTGAGGAGTATGAATTAAATGCATTTATCAATAAAGTAATTAAACAGAGATGAAGTGCAGAAGATAGAACAGAAATGTTTATATTCTATTTGTTTATGATTCTGACATTTTCCCTTTCAGTTTCTTTGAAAACTCACAATAAAATCAAGGCCTGCAATCTCAAAGTTCTCTTTCTCCACCATGTCAGGCAGCCGTGGTACTGAAAGAAGGAACCCGATCTATGGGACACAAACAAAACAAATTATTTATGAGTGGGGATACAACATCGTATATATCTCAGCACAGCACCATCTACAGTCAGACACTGTAAGTACATCTCTTAGCAGTATTCAAATTGCCAAGGTAGTATAAAGTCTTTGTTATTAGTAAACAACCTATGGCTGGGCTAAACTACAAAAACCCAATGAGTCTTGAAGTACAAGAGGACAGCAGTTGTGATCCCAGACCAGAGGGATGTAAATGACGCTGCACGTAGAAAAACGAGAGTCCAGATTCTCCAGCTCAGCTCGGGCCACATCTGTCAGAAAGTCTGATAAGCCCATCATCCTTCTTTTTTCTGAAAGAAAAAAAAGAAAAATTGTACTGAAGACTGACCATAGATAAATATCACTTTAACTTTTTAGACAAAACACCCTGAAATCAAGCAACTTGGCACTTTTTTCCCCAATTCTTTAATAATGTGTTTTTTTTTGCTGTTTCACAAGCTCAGGTTTGAACCTGGCCATAGATGGCAAAATATTCCAAACAGTTCAACTGAAATGAAAATGAATTTTAACAAGCTCACTTTCATCAATGGCAGGGTCAACATTTGGCCTAATGGTGAAATGGTTCTCAGCAAAACTGCCTTCAAAATCCACCTGCAAAAGAATTCTAATTAAAAATTATTGACGAACATCAATTAAACTGATGACTTAAAGGGAAATTTCACAGATTTTATAACTTTCTGCTTAATTAAATACTTTAGATGTAAACACAGTCATTCAGAGTGTTTTGATGCGAAATGCTCCAAACTAGAGACACTTACTGAGTAAGATTATTATCATGACTAACGATTATAACTTTTTAACTGTGAGGTCATCGAAATGAAAATGCATATAATTCACTCTTTTACTTCAAACTCACCACTTTGCTGATGAGTGTGGCGATGTAGTCAAGGTCATCTGTAAAGTCTTTACTGATCTCTCGAAAGAGCTGGATGGTCTGGGGGAGAGAACGTACTGTGTCTCTGATCCCCACAGCACTGTACACAGTCTGAAAGGTAGAAAACAGACACAAAGGTTCAACAAAAGAAAACTCTTTCTCTTTTAAATCTTTTGAAATTCTGTGGATTGTTTAAATTAAAATGAAGTGCAAATGACCTTGTAGAGATTCTGCCAGTCACTGACTTTGGTATGAGACAGAGACATTTTGTACAGCAAAGTCTGTAAGAGAAATTTGTTTAAGAAACTGTGAAAACAAATACAGAGAAATTGTCAGCTGTGAAATCTGTTTAGAAAATTGAATTATGATGAACCTGTATTTTCATTTATAAATTGACCTTTTAAAACTCAACTTATTAATTTCATCTTTTGCAGTGAAAAATGTTTAATCTGTAAAATATACAGTGTTGTGCAAAACTTATTTTTAAAAAGCTAATTACGTGGGCAATGTTTGTTTGCTCATAAGGAACACTAATATTAAATAAATAAGAACAATATTAATACAATAGGTAGTAATTTTATGTTAATATGTTCACAAAGTCATTTCCAAACCTTGTTATGTCAATCCTTCAGTAAAATAAATCAGGAGTGCTGGTAATTTAACATTTCTATTCAACAGCTAGGGATATGTAACCAAACCTTTGTTATTGTAATAGCTCAAAAGACATCTACTTATATTACTTTTTTGAAAACAAAAATGTCTTGTTACTTTTTACTGCTTTAAAGTTTGTTTATTTTAATGTAATATGGTATTTTTACAAGCACACTTATTATCCAGATAAATGGTTTGCACGAGTGCCTAAGACTTTTCACAGTACTGTATTTCAACAATGCAAATAGATATAGAGACTACAAATCATCAGTGTGATGCATTTGAAAGCAGCAGCTGTTAGCAGCCTGAACGTACAGGAATGTTCTTGATGTTGCGCAGGAAGTTCTGCAGTGTGTTCATAACATCAGAGTTTCGAGGAGACGTAAAGAAACGGACCACCTCCTGTCTTCTCCTCAACACATTCATGTCTCGGGTGGGCCTATAGAACCACTGCCTGGAGAAACAGAAATGAAATCTTGGGAACAGAAAGCAGGGGTGCAAAATGCTATCAGCAGATATTTGCTTAAAAATAATAAGATTTGACTGATATTTCAAATCAAAATTGGATTATGCATTTATTGTACTCAGAATGTTTAGGCGACACTGGGTTATTATGATTAAATGTCTGCACTTTTAATCTTATAGAAATAAACGCTACATTTCTCGGCATTCTGCTAAACTTGGTAGATTCAGTCCCAAATTCAAATTCAAAAAAAGTCCCAAATGTTTTATGAATGTTTATGTATCTGTATTTGCATCTGCAGATATATGCATGAAAATCGGCCCACAATTCCCATACTGGTGCAACCCAGGAAGGCCACGAGTGTATCAGAGCAGAATCTATCGACACAGTATTGTAGATTAAAAGACAGAGAGAAAAAGAAAATACAGAAGACTTACCGTAAAAGCTTGGAGCCATACTTGCATCTGCAGTGATTCAGTATACCTGAAACATGCATGCAGCCTCACTTGGCATGCATAAAAATCTTTGTATGTTTTAAATTTGAACAAACAGGATATGTAACTCTACCAACATCAACCTTTCATACGGTCATATGTAAAAGTTTAAACACCCCCAGTTGAATCATATGTTTTGCTGAGTTTCTAAGTGAAAATAAGTTACCAAATCCTCTACAGGGAACAAGCTTAATTATATTTTTCTAATTCACAATTTCTACATTTTTGCTGAGTTTAACATATAAGAAAACATAAAGTATGTTTGTCATCATTTTTGCACAATTGACATTTTATTGTTTTTTACCCCAATACGTTAAATTCAGCAAAAAAACAGTAAATGTGTATCAACTTTTGCAGAAGTTTGCTCTCTGTACAGGATGTTTTACCTAATTTTCACTTAGAAAATCAACATAACATTATTTGATCAGTGGTGCCCAAACATTTGCACACAACTAATTATTCTCATCCAGACACTTCCACAGACACTGCACAACAACATGAAAGGTGTGTTTTACCAAAGAGGCTCAGACCCTCCTTCACTCCAGATTGGAGCTTGTAGACAGAAGGGTGCAGCTCAGCTTTGAATATCTGGAGAACGCTGAGGAAATGTAATAAGTAAAACAAATGAACATCGTGTGGACCAAAGAGTAAAGAGATTCAACATTTAGGCTAAACTGGAATAGGTTAAAATGGGCACCTGTATGTGTCTCTATCCATGTATACCACATCAGTTCTGTCAAATGACAAAAGTACAGATTAGACTGAAATGCTACTTTAATGTTTTTAAAAATAGTGCCCCATGGAGATGTTCACTTTAAAACTAAACATCTTCCCATCAGGAGTTTCAAATGGTGGTAAAAAACATCTAGAAAGCAAAAGTTGGCACATTTAAGGCCAGAATATAAAAGGAACATGGCAAACAATTAACAGTTTTGAGCTCTGGTCGTACAGTGTGTAGGCAAGTAACTGTAATATGGGAACCCCCACACTGCTGTCCTCCAGTTCAACCCCAACTCTTCTCCTGTCCAGACATTTCAGGAGCCCTCCTATGCTCCTCAGCTGAAAAAAGAGTGGACTGGTATCAATAATTTTGGTTAAACTACATGAGTTTTACTTTCAATAAACACGTAAAACATGTGAAACACAATAACTTGTTGAAAAGCAAAGTAATGGACTGTAATAGACTTCTACCAGTTTCTACCCTTGAGCTGTTAAACTGGTCACAACAACAGAATCCAGATCATGAAAAAAAAGCACAACTTGATCTATATGCACACTGCACTTTAATGTTATTCCGAGCTTCTGTGAACACTTGACTAACATTAATACCATTGTTTACTGAACACTACCTCTAAAACTGCTGCACATATTTTGCATATTTTGCACACATGCATACACATGTATATGCACCAGTACTCTTCTGTGTCTCTAGTTTTTGTATTTTTGTAATTCTGCATTTATTGTCTATTGACTATATATGGTATTGTCTATTTATTATATATTGTTTGTGTAATTACTATAAGTTTTTTAGGTATACATACTGTCAACCTAAACATCAGTGATGTGTCTCACCATTGTCACCGAGTCAAGCGAGATGCAGGAGGACAGATATGGGATTCGTTCTTTCTCAGTGATGGATGCAGGAAGAAAAGGGAGATGTGCTGACATGAGCCTTTGTTTACTGACCTCCAGCCCTGCAGTATAAAAAAGTAAAAAGGATATGCTGGAGTAAAACTGGCCGACCCTTAGAGCAGTTTAAAATTCTCCTCCTCCCCCTCAAAAAGCCTACCATCTGTTTGATATTGTGCTAAAAAAGTGTGTTTCTTTTAAACAAATAATTTTGTGAAGCAACCAAAGAACATCATTAAAGTTTACCGATGGTAAAAGTGTCCAAATACTTTTGGAGGTCATCATGAGATCATCAATAATTCCTCAGCACACGCTGAATATTGTGAACAACTTCTACTGTTTGGTTCTTACCAAAGTCAGCACTGGGATACACAACAATTTCTGGTCTGTAGTCTGGATTTGATCCTAAATGTAAGAAAGAAATTTATTTACAGATATGTGTATGTGAACAGTAGACAACATTTATGACCCTTCAAACACAAAATTTAATTTACCAAGTCTTTTGATAAACTGGGCCATGTTTTGCTCCTGCTTCGCACTTGTGATGATGACGTTAGGACTGATCTCCTGAATCACTGTAAAGAATAACTCACAGCTGATAAGCAGAGTGAACTCCACACAAGTGAAAATAAATGTATGCTCCATACATTTTATTAGAGCATGTAACCCATTTGTAACCCATCTAAATAGGGCCATATGATGTCTGTGATGCAGAGAAGATTCAATTTCAGATTTGTTTTTGAAATCAGAACATGGAAAATAACTGAATTTGGCGATTTGTGAGAGATTACAAAACATTTCCTAAATTATTAGACATTTTATGCCATTGTTCTTACAGCATCTAGATAATATCTTCACATTTGGTCTTTTAACAAAAGCTGTTCTTTGGAGAAATTCTGGTGTACTTCTGTGTACATCATGGCAGGCAGTAGGGGTTGACTGGTAAAGTGAAAACAAGACCACACAGTGTCAGTGATGCCAAACACCACTGGTGCCTCAGCCTAGCTCAAGTATCATTTATCAGATCAATAAAACGTCTCCTATCAGTTTGCAGTTGTTGTCTTACTGCAACAGCAGAAGCACTGAATGTGTGCTGGCCAAATATTTTGTTGATGTTTTTGTCTTGTTTTGTAATGTGGTCTCTGTACCTCTGTCCAGCAGGTGAAGATCCCTGTTATCCACCGTGTCAGGCATGAAGTGCAGGGTACAATCTCTACTGTCATAGAAACTGAGACCCACCTGACATTGGTGAACAAGTACACTGAGAAATACCTTGAATTTAAAGAAAAGTGAAGAACGTCAGCACACTTTCTAGCACTGACTATTAAAATGAACACTTCAGTAAAGGTTAATCCTTCACTGTCACGTAAATGAACAGTTAAATTAAATGAAATCATGAATTATCTGTGCCCATTCACCTCAGATGGTCCCTCGTTTTCGTCTCCGTTCAGACTAGCAGCACGGGATGGCACATCATCTCTCACAAGGTTAACATTCATCTCCTCAGTCATATTACTAGAGCTAAAGAAAACAATACTACAGTTATATTATTAGAGAACTATAATGTTAGCTAGGTTACTATGGCTAACTAGGCAGTGATATCTGGGTTACAGTTAAAAAGGGTGGTCAAAAAACATTTTCAGTTGCACGGATAATAGCTAACTAACAAAAAAGATAGATAAAAGATAGAAAGATAGCGTTAGATAGAATGCGTCCTAACTAGCAAGGTTAACTAAAAGCCAAAGACTCAAAGACATCCCCCTGTTAACTCCCACTAAATAATAATCCTAGCTAGCTAACGCTAGCTAAAGTAGCACCTAGCTAGCCACAGAGCTGGCAAGCTAGCTAGCTCGGGTTAGCTAGAAAACCGTTCAAATTTAGTTTATATTACATTAAATAGCAGGACTTAAAACCTGCCATATGTAAAGGACATTGACTGTACCACGGGGAGGAAAAAAACAAAATGTGATTTATATTAGGGACCCAAAGAGCTCTCCTGAGTTTGTTTTAGTATTGTCTATTTACACTAATTTGACAGACTATTCTTAGTTAGCTAACGCTAGGTAGCTTTCCACATCTGAATTTACATTACAAGTCTGTAGCTAAGTTAGTGCATTTTAATTCCATTCTTATCATGGTATTATTGATGAGCTGTTTGGTTAGTTAACTAGCTAGGTTAGCTAGTTAACCTTGTAAGATAGGTAGCTATGTACGCTAACCTAGCTAGGTTATTTAGCCACCAAGGGCTTGAATTCAGCTGCTGGCTGACCTTGCTAGTGTAACTTACAAGCAAAGTAACGTAAGTAATTAGCTAGCTAACTGCCAGAGCTTCATACGAAGTCCCTACAGCGCACTTTTGTTTGTATAACTAGAAAAATAAATCAGCTAAGCGAATATGTTGCTGTAGGTTAAGTGAATCAGTAGAGCTTAGCCTTTGTGTCAGGTGGGCAGCAGTGTCAGTTACAAACGTGTGTAGTTACAGATTAGAAGAGACGTTGGTTAGCATAGCTAATACACAGCTCTGTGTTCTCAGGCAGAGCCCAAATGAACTGAATCAAAGGCCAGACATTTAGAGGTTAAAGGATAGAGTTGTTTATTTTTGCACAACGACCAAAATGATCATTTTGGACAGTATTTCAGTCACCACTAAAATTAATACCACAAAAAAGATATACAAACAAACAAAAAAGCAATAATTTATTTTTCCAATAGTGGTTAGTTTACCCAAGTACAGATTTGCAAGGAAAATCTCAGAAATAATAAGTGTTCCTTTGCATTGCGAAAGTTTATTTTAATATGTATTTTTAATGTGGTCAGAGGATAGTTAATATCATTAAACGCTGTTTCTCACCAAGGGTCACTGTAAAAAAAGAAGTGAGAGAGTGAGAGAGAGCAGGATGCCTGTGTAAAAGCCTCTCACACTGGTTATGGCTCCGTTGCACAGGTGAGTATCACAGCACTCATTGGTGAAGGTGAAGTTTAAACCCATCGCAAACTTCTCTCCAGTGATCCCACACAAAGACGGGAGCACACAACTCTTTTCATACAGGACCACCTGAAATTCACCTGTGGAGAATGAATGTGTACAAAATAAAAGTCCTTATGGGGTGGTATTCTGCATCCAGGCTGCTTTGTGAAGCTGTTACATTTAGACACTGACTCTCAGACATGTCAGGATTCTGATCTGCAAGTATGACACGTTATTGACCAGATCAGCCAAAACAAAGTGCTCCATGGTGCAGTTTTCCACTATTAACATTATAGCAGCAAAGTATGTCCTGGTTCGGTTGTAAATTTGATCATGTAAGACTGCAGAAATTGTCTAAACTCAATTATTTAACTTGTTCTATAATACAAAATAGCGGCCAGCTTCTGTATTGTAGCTCATATTTGATCAGCTAAATGCTAGGCAAATGTGTGATTATAAGGGTGATGGCCAAATAAAAAAATCTGTGTATGCCTGAAATTATTAAACGTTAAATTCTCATGTTAAAAGCAAAGGACTTGTCAATAACATGGAGTTACCTCTCTGTCCAGTGGCCTTGCTGGAGAGGCAGCGCTGGCCTGGGGGGCATCTGGTGGGGTATCTGATGCAGTCCAGGGGGGAGATGGCAGGGAACACACAAGTGTAACAGAAGAGAGGCACTGCAAGTGTAGAAAGTACTTTCATAAACAGGAATTCAAAGTGAATTCAGGAAATATACACCAACAGCATGTGAGTGCAGGATAAACAAAAAGTCATAAGATAAATAGTAAAGAGCAATAACAAAATTCACATTAACAAGAATGAATAAAATTATAGTGCACATAATTAAACATCATTCTATATATTTGTGTAATGAAAATAAGATTTTTACAGAGAGGAGTTGAAATCTTGTATCTTGTTGATCACAGCCTATGATTCATCTTCCTCACAGAACAGCAGCTTTTATTGCAGAAATGCATTCTTACTACAAATGCATTCCTATTCACATCTTCTTTCTCTTAATTACTCACCCACAGACGGCAGCATGCAAAGCAAAAGAAGAGAACTGAGTCGAGGACACATTTTTTTCTTGGGGTGTCGTATTCCAGCTTATGTTCTTCTAAAGATTTTTATGAAGTGCTCCAGAACCTTGCAGTGTGGTTCAGAGTTGTACCTTAATAGCCCAATAACCACATCTGTCCCTCTCCTACTTCACATCTTTAACAGACTGCTCCCATATAACCTCCGTTCTTACAGTCTTGATGAACTAAAAAAAAAAATGTCCCCACCCCAACATGTAATTCGATTTTAGCTCCAGCAGAGAAAACGTTAGATCGTACCTGTATTCAAGCCAAAAACTGTCTGCTGTCAGAATTTAGGAGTTGCCCTTGACATATTCACAGAAATCCTATGTTGTTATGTTTTCTAGTTTAAAATAGCTCACTGAAATTCTCGTTTAATTCTCATCTATGGCGACAATGATTAAATATTTGTTTAAATAAAAAAGTCATGTCCAACACTCCCATTCCGATTAACAAAAAAAACAGAGCAAGAGTGAAGGTAGGCTGTGTGATTTAATTATGGATGATTTGCTAATGAAAGGCATGCAGTGGAACCAGAGGTCTGTCAAATGACCCAAGTCTTGTGACAAGACCTCTTCCAAAGTATCTCTTACCAGGCCATAGCTTTAGAAAGCAAGCTTCTCTCCATCTGGATGTCAGACTAATTCAAAAGCGTTTAGGACAACAACACCCATTCAATACGTCATCCCATTTGCATGTCAATGAACCATTTAAATGACAGAACAAAAAAAGACTTTTGGAAAAAATATTAATACCAAAACAATGTTTGAAGGTGCAAAAAATGACTGGGTTATAACTGCACAACTGATAGTAAATAGTACATATGCTGCAACACTTACTGTAAGAAAACCCTTATGAAGTCAACCATATGGCTAACAGCTCCCTCTAGTGTTAATAAAACAGCCCTACAAGGCCTCACTGTTAGTTCAAAAGCATGAACAGTCGAAATCAGTAACTCTTAAAAGCTAATTGATTACTTTGCATATATTGTTTTAGGCTTTGAAAGACTACAAGTGTTGGCATGATCACCGTTCAGAGGTTCTGCTGTTACATTTCTCCTGTGAAGAACTGCAAATGAGAACTGCAAAATCAGACTTGAATGTCAGGTATGAAATTTAGTTTCTAAGACCTTTTTCTGCTTCACTCATAATAAAATGCCACCTTAATTCACTGAAGCTAATGTAATAGGCTAATGTAATTGAAGTCTGTATCGCCCAAAAAGATTTTGAATGACAGACTTTCATTACTCATTACTCAGACATCAGATATCTTGGCAGATATTGTACACTTTTAGTGCACAAATTAGAATTTTCAGCCAATTATTCCTTTAAAATATTCCAAATAAATAGACAGTATGAATGACCAACTAGATACAACAGTATACGTTACTACTAACAATGTAATCCACTACCATACTTGCATGTACAGAACAGCAGAAAAAAACTGAGAATTGATTCGTTTTGATTCAGTTCAGGACAAACTAAACATTATGACTTCTTTGAGACGATTTAGTCTAATATTTAATATTTATTATTTAACATTTAGTTTATTCACACAAAAAAGCTCACATCTCAACGTGATCAAGAAGATTAAGTGTTCTCAAGCAGAGTACAGTTTATTCAATCCTATATAATCGATATAATACTGGTCATGCAGATGTACAGGAGAGATTGCCAGTACTGATAGATGCACACCATTTTACATTTTTTTCTATGTTGTGATTTCTAGGCATTTGCCACCGGGACACACATAGGAAGCATGAGTCTTCTTCTAAGCCGGACAACAGCAGAGTCCACGCCGGCTGCAGCCCGCTTCATACACGTGTCATCCTCCAACTGCAAGCGAGCAACCTGCAGGTCTTCTACAGCTTTCTCTGCAGAGTCCAGATGCTGCTTCAGCATAGCACTGCCCTGAGAAATAGACACAATACACTTTACTTTAATAGGCTTTACAGCATCAGAAATATATAGAATTATAACCAAAATAATGTAGTTTTCATTGGCAAAAGTAGCTAAATATAGTAATTATGTGGATTGAAAACTTCATGCGTTTCAGATGAGGGAATATGATTAGTGCACATCAGAGCTCTCGATTACAATACCTGTGTTAGAAGACTGGACTCTGGCAGGCATGAACTTTGGTGTCTATCATAGACCTGCACCACAGGCCTGTCCAGCCTCTCTCTGCAGAACAGGTCAGCACTGGAAACTGGGCCCTATAGGAGAACACTACAGTGCATTAAGTAATGCTGGCTGCCTTAGGGAAATATTTTGTTTTGAAGGGAAATGTAAGTTTTTCTTCTTTTCTAGTTACACACAGCCATGAAAAAAGTACTCCCCCTCTAGACACACTTAATTTTTTTTCAGATCTTTAAACAAAAGCTATAAGAAAATAAATAAATTAAATACATTTTAAACAATCTTTTCATTTATTGAAGGTAAAAAAGCACCCAGGCGGACATCTAAGCAATTGAAGGCCTCGCTCACCTCAAATAAGATCAGCCCTCATGATACCACTATTAGAATAGACTGACCAAAAATGATCTCAGTAAGGTGAAAACCATTGCTAACCAAGAGGTACATAAAGACACACCTCACATTTACCAAAAAACACCTGGATGACACCCAAGCATTTTGGAATAATATGGACTGATGAGTCGAAAGTATATCTTTTTGGAAGACAGGCGTCCAGATACAGGCGGTATAAAGCTAACACAGCATTCCACATAAAGAACATCATACCAACAGTCAAACATGTGAAGGTGTGGGGAAGCTTTGCTGCTTCAGGGTTTGGCTTGCCATGATTGACAGAAACATGAATTCTCCTCTCTACAAAAAAATCTTGCAGGAAAGTGTCCGGTCATCAGTCTGAGATCTGAAGCTCAAGTGCAATTGGGTTATGCAGCAAGACAACAATCAAAAGTCCACCTCTAAAAGACTCAAAAGAAATAGAGTAGCCTAGTCCAAGTCCTGACTTAAACCACACTGAGATGCTGTGCAATTGTTTTTTGCCTTTAATAAATAAAATGACTATTGAGAACCTGTATTTTTTGTTTCCTCATGTTCTCTTGTCGTAATGCATTTTGTACGAGGATCTAAAACCAGTTAGTGTGACAAATATGGAAAAATAGAGGAAATCAGGAGGGTTTTTTCATGGTACTGTGTTCTTGCTTTATTTCCAGTTGATCGAGAACTATCTAGTTTGTAATACATTTACATAACGTATGCGTTAACTAGATTATCATTACTGGCAAACTGTAGAGTGTTACTGACTGCACTACCCACAACATTTAGACAAATGAGAAGCAAAGAAATATTCCCAGATGAGTTGATGGAACAGCACAACATTGTGGTGCTGCATTTTAGAGTCTCTAAAAGCAATGTCACATTTCCTGATGTGTGAAATTGTCTTTCTGGTTTATTGTAAATAAATGAGCTATACATATGATGTAATATCTAACACCACTGACCAGTTCACAACAATTTTCTTTGCAAAGTTCTGACAAACTAAGAACTAAAATGGAAATCAAACTTGGCATTCTACTCATTGCTAAGACATCAGTTATAGATAGCAAAGCATACCAAAACTCTGCCGTGACTGTAGTTGGCACACTGCATCTGTCTCTGCTGACGGAAGATGGCCTGTCTAGTAGCTCCTGAGCTCAGTGTTAGATGATGCTGATAAAGAGTAATGGAGAGAAATGTATGATTTAAGTTTGAAAGAACATTATTATGTAAAGTACTGTACAAAAATCAGAGACTATTTATTTAATTTCCAGTGAAAACATCCATTAAGTACAAGTTATATATTTCAGGGGCTATTTCTGAGGACATTAGATCTAAGATAATCTGTTTGCACAAAGAAGGGCAAAGTCAAACCAGTCTAAGTTAAAAAAAAAAAAATCTACAACTGGAGTTCCAATAATTATGAATACATAAAATGATTACTCCTAAAATACATACAAGACCTAGTTGACCACCAAGACCATCACCATGAGATAAACAGTACTTTTCTCTTTCAGAGATCGGAACTAATCAGAAGATCTGCACTAGGACACCAAAACTGGACACCTGAGAAGTGCAGTACGTAGTCGAAATTTGACATCTTTGGAAGGAGCAGAAGGCCGTATAAGCAATAAGCTCCCAAATTAATGAATGACTTCTTTGAAAAATTGTTTTTTTGAAAAACTGAAAGCCAGTTTCACAAAAGGAATGGAAGCTAAATGCTGAAAAATTGGATTTCTGCGTTTTTTTTAATTGCACTAAAATATTCCACAATTTCCCAGTTCATTCACTTCTTTCTTGGGATAGAGGCATTTTAAAAGTGTAGATGTTTGTTATGTGTTTTCCAAGCAACTGTTTTTGTGAAAAATGCTGTAAATTTACGTGCTTTCAGAGCTTGTAAAAAATGAAATGTTTAATCTTTGTCTCACCTGCAGATTAGTAGTTTCTGCGATTTTCTTCCATAGGCCCTCATTGACAGACTGATGTAGAGTTGTCTGCTTAATGATGGCATCACACATCAGCTGTTTCATATTGTCTCTGAGCTGCTGAGACTGGTGCAACACAGCTGCTGACGCCTCCAGCACATCTTTACACTCTGGGTGTGTGTTTGGGGATGTTGGGGTTTGGTGTAACAGAATAATGAAAAAGTACAAGAAGAATAGGATGTTAATTACAGTCTTTTATGTCTCCATTTTCCATCACTATTCTCCTCTATCATTACTACCATTTACTGAAGATTGTTTCGAAAGTACCGTTTCATTGAAGTGAAGGAATGTAACATCTCATTAACAGATGTCACCTGAGAGTGTCATTTTCATTACCTGGGGTATATGGTCCAGAAGGGTCAGGTTTCATGGATAGGGGAGAGGGGGAGCGATGCACGGTTGCTGAGGGTGACCCATGCTGAGGGAGCAGCTCTATTACTCTGGACCTTTCAAAAGCACAGTTCAATAGCTGCCTGCTGCTCTGAGCCAGGGCCTTAAAGTAATGCAGAAATTTTTCAGCATTACTTTTCAGCATTGCAGTTTTTCACTGTAACTTTAATATCAAAGCTCATCATATCAAAAACTCCTTTTTTCACACCAGCTGCCATTTACATGGTATGTATATTTCTATACATAAATAGTCAATAATTACTTAGAAT